CCGCTTGCGTGAACGTGGCCCACGTGGATGGACGGGCAGCGGGAGGAGGCAGGGGCCGTGCCCCCCAGGGAGGCGGAGGGCGCCCACGGCCGCTTTCGTGAATGTGGCCCACGTGGATGGACGGGCAGCGGGAGGAGGCAGGGGCCGTGCCCAGGACCCAGCGGAAGCGATGGCTGAGCAGCCCCACGGCTCAGCCCTGCGTCTCCTGGGCTGGAAGTATAACCTTACCCATGAGCTCCCGGGTGTCTAAATGGAAAGAGAGAATGAAGAAAGCAAGAATGAAGGGAACGAGGGAAAGAAGGGCACAAGGGACTGGCTGGAAGGAGAAATCAGAACCCCTCAAGGTGGTGGCCGGTCCAGGTTTACTTGTGAAATTCCTCAGGGAAGTTCTGTTGCGTGGGCAGGGCAGGCACGTTGTATAAACTGCGCCCTGGCTCGCTGCAGTTCCCACCCGTCTGGAGGAATCGTCCCCAGATTGTCGTGCAGAAGACCCCTCTCCTCAGGACGCAGGGAGTCTGAGCATGAAGCTGTTTGACTCACATGTGGTGATGTGATCACAGGTTAGAGTTTAGTGCGAAGAAGTGATAAAGATGACCAGATGTGCAGGAGTTCTGGAAACTCTCAGGTGCTAAGGCTCTGAATGTTCAAACATCCAGTGATTCGCCAATGACACAGATTGAGATATTCTGAAGCTACATCACGGTGTGCAGGGTATATCGAGAAAATCGCCAGGAGCTCAGTCCACAGCCCCAGCATGGCAGACCGGCCTACACGTTGGTGTCCACGGAGAGATCTTTCTAGAAGAAATGAGCACGTGCAAAGTTCTGCTCACACATTCGTGTCTTGAGGATCGTGTTGGTCCTTGGGTTAGGAATTCCCAAAGCAACAGGCTGCAAGTGCCCAGTTCAGAAGAGAGCCAGCTGCTGTTACCTTGGAGAGAGACCGAGGGAGCCCCAGAGGGAGAAGAGGTTTGTGGAGACCACAAGAGGTTACAGAAGGAGGAAACACGTTGAATCATCGTGGTGGTGGGTTGAACGTGGGCTTTGTAGATGAGGAAAACTCAAAGGCAGGGTTGTAAGCTGCTTATGACATAGTGAATTCCATAAGCAAAACGTGATCTTTAATACATGGAATCTAAAAAGACAAAGATTGTTCTCTGAGACGGCCGTTGGGGGGGGAAGAGGGGCGTTCGCCATGCACAGGTGACTTCTCCGTGAGGTCCTGTGTCCCGAGCTCAACTTCTACTAATTCTGTTCTATAAATCTGCCACTCCTTGACAAAAACACAAGGCACAGCTCAGCACCGCCGTTCCACAGATGGCATCATGTCATCAGTGAGAACGAAGCACCAGAATGCTTTCAAAGTCCAACAAATAAAGGCAAAAGTGTGCTCGCTCGCTAGCCTCCTCTTCCCGATGTTTCCAGTTCTGGGTAACAATGCCACTGTCTTCACTTGGGAGAAGACTCCGTGTCGCTTATGATCAAAGGAAGTCTGGTTTCCCTCTTCCCCTCCTTTTGTTCTCTCTTTTCCGCTCCGCCTCTGTATCTGTCTCCTGACATCTGCATCGTGTGATGGCGTGCTCCCTTGCTTCACCTCTGTAGGTTGGTCAGCGAAGGCTCCTAACTGCTAGAGTTCACCGCACCTTCGCAAAGGTGTAAAAACCGAGTCTTTCCGGCCGGATCTGGGTAGAGCCCCTCCCGAGGGGCCTCGTGTGATTCTCCCCACAGCTTCACCTCCTCCTCGGGGCGCAACTTCCACAAAGCTGCTTCCTTCTGGCCTGTCACACAGGAGAGCAGGAAGTGTAGAGAGCCAGACGCGACAGGCCACGAGCGATTAAACCCACCTCAAGAGCCACTAACATTAGCCTGGTGTTTGAGCTTGCATTTGTTTCCAGATGCGTGCCCACCGGAAATGGTCATGTCTAAGCTAGTATTTGTCACAGTTACGCCTCTCTGCAGGTCGCGCTGGGCGGCCTCTCCGAGCTCCTCAGCTCGGGCCGCTGGGCCCTGGACTCTCACTCACTCATGCCTGGCCCCTGTCTCATTAGTGCCGGGTGGCGAAGCCACAGCACCTTTCGATGCTCTCAACATTCTGTGGTTCCAGCTTGACCTGGCTGTGGCTCTGGAACCTTCTAACCAAGCAGGACAGAGGTTTCTGAGAGCCGGGGAGGAGCCCTCCTGATGTGGTGGTTAGAAGAAGGAGTTTAGGAAATGCATCCGTTATTTGCAATGCCTGCCCTGGGGATGCTGGGCAGCTCCCAGAAGGAGCAACGGAGACTCTTGGGCGATGGCACCCAGAGCGTAGGCAGACCGTCATCCCCTCAGGCTTCAGATCCCAGGGAGCTGAGGATACGGGCGTAAGCCGCTCTGTCCGGCTCTGGGTCGCCCTCCTTAACCCGGCCACCTCAGGGGGAGGGTGTGAACACCCGCTCCCCACCCCCCGCACGGCTTCCGGCGCCGCTCCAGCCCTCACACCTGCTCTCCTCTGCTCTCCTCCGCAGGGTGGACGGCGCCTCCTACGAAGTCATGCAAATTGACATCAAAATCGAAGAGCCCAGCGACACACCGGCCACGCAGCTTGTCACCTGGCAGGTGGAGTATCCGGGAGAGATCACGTCTGACTTGGGAGTGTCCAAGATCCACGTCAACCAGAAGGACCTGATTGCAGTCATACCACTGGCCATGGTAAGGGGGCACTCGGGAAAGGGGGGCTCCAAGCCGGGGGATGGGGTTTTGTGGGGGGACCTGGACTGTGATGTACACTGCCAATACCCAACTCTAATTGTATGTTCCTAAATAGTACTCAAAACGCTACTTAGGCAAACGCCGGCATTAGCTATGAGCCTACATTTTTTGAAAAGTACCGATAATTTGATCAGTGTGCATCCTGTGTGTTTATGGGTCTCAAATGCGTGCAAACCATGTGGAGAGGGTCTCAAGCACGCAGGTGCTGCCTGAGTTGTAGGAGGACTGTGGAAGGGATGCGCTGGCGTTGCGTGTGACTGAGCTGTATGTGGATGGCGCGTCGATGGGCGGGGCTGCCTCTGCCCTCGCTGCCGCACGAGGCGCTGGACGCTCAGTGCTGAGTGTCTGCGCGGCTCCCCCGGGCTCTGGGAGCCTCATATTCGGCCTGGTAGGACGGCCCAGGCCCGTTCTCCATGTGGAGTTCTGCAGCGTGGGCCTCTCCACCTGCGAAGGATGGGGAGGCCTGGGTGCACGCGTGGACACGGAATGGGGCCTGGGGCTGTGGAAGTAGCGCAGGGGTCCAGCAGCCCTTACCCTGGGTCCGTCCCCCGCATTGCCACAAAAGAAAGGCAGGAAGGGAAGGCGGAACCCACAGCACGGTGGGTAGAGGAAGGACCGCTCCAGGGAACCCCAGGCCCTGTCCCGCCCAGGAGGCCGAGGCCGCAGTGGCGCAGGGGTAGGGAGTAGAGTGGGGAGTGGCCTGGGGACTCTGGGTGGCGTGCAGATGTAAGGACTTCCCACCCAGGCTGCAGGTGAGAGGAGACTGCAGTCAGTGCTTAGAAGCTGAGTCCTGCCTCCCAGCAGACAACTCACAAGTTTAGCAGATTTTTTTTTAACTATTAACAAATCCTCCAGTTTAGGTTGTTCTGTTGAAATCTTTGCACACATCTCTGATTCTTGGAGGCTAACCTTTAGAACTAAACTTTAATCCAAGGTTCGGAATCAAAGGCTAGGAAGCATTGTCACGCTCCTTGGTAACGGCTCTCAAATTGCCTTCCAGGAAGCTGCACTTAATTCACAATCCTGCCCACTGCGGGGGGATGGCCCCCCACTTCAGCAACACAGAGAAGAGCTCATTTTTACGAATACGCAATTTATGGAGCAAAGATTATCTGTGCTGCCTTCTTCTGCCTCGCTTGGGTTACTTTTCTAAAACTTCCTCATTAAACATTTGTCTTTGCCATTATATTTTCTCATGAGGAATCCAACCTCTTGGATTACTTTGCTACAAACCTTGTTTTTTTAATCATGGGAAACAAAATCACAGGATAATAAAGTACCGTCTTGACCATTCTGAGCATACGCAGGCTCCCACTCACGTGCACTGTATCTCGACAACCTTTTCCTTTTGAACATCTGAAAACCGCATCCCTACTGTGCGCACGTTCTCTTCCCCCTCCCCCAGACATCGGGGGTCGGTCACCTCCCTTTCGGTACACTGGTGACACCAGTCCCTCCTCCCGACCCCTCTCCTGTGTTCTTACCTGACCTCCGATTGACACATCGTCTGTATCCTTCTGTCACCGTCTGGTTGACGCATTGCCTGTACTCTTAGCTAACTCTTTGATTGACACATGGCCTGGAGCCTTACCATTTTGCGATTTGCATTATAATTGTACAGGCTGTGTTTTGGCATGCAGAGTGGTTTGCCTGCTTCAGTTTTTATGTGATCAAATCCATCATCAATCTCTTCCAAAATGAAAACACACTGTATCCCCCTGATCATATCAAGAGGAAAACCCATTCCTATTGTATTTATCTCATAAAACCTGCACATCTTAAAACAGATCTAAAAGTCTAAGCACAGCCCACTTAGATATATGCAGCACAAGAACCTTCCAGAAGCCATGATCCAAGCAGCCGCGGCCGCTCCCGCTGGGTGGGGTTTGAGAAGGATGCTGGGCGTGGCTCGGGTGCTGGGTTCTCCGTGGAGGTGTAATCTAATTCCATCTTCAGGGAAGTTCTGAAATGAAATGCAGTTCCCGTGTCCAGAGCCTTGAAAGCTTTTTTATTTTCCTAATCCAATCATATATTTTTATGAGTTTCGGTCCTTTTCTTTTTCTTATCCAAGAAATGGTGCTTTACTCTGTCCTAGGCAAAATACGTTTTGTCCTTAGGGAGGAAGATTCTGAAAGGAGGGTCATTAAACGTCCATTAGCATGAATCCGTCAGGTGTACGCCGCAGCCACGCACGTGGCTTAGAAGCTCAGAATCGCTCTGGGAATACACTCGGTGTGGAGGAATGTTGTCTCTCGTTTCTCACTGGCTCCTGAGTTTGGACCAAAGCACCGTTTTGAGCTTATGCCAGAGTCCAGAGATAGCAACGCTGATGTGCACTTGAGCCAGACCAGCGAGGCCTGGAGGTGCTGTAGTAAGTGTGTTTGGCTGCGCCTGGCAGATACTGCTCCTGTCGGTGCGGGAAGAGGCTGCTGGGGCCCTGTCGGCCCGCTGCTGCTCCAGGGCCGGGGAATGGAAGCGGCCAACCCAGTCACCGTGGGATGTGAAGCAAGCCTTCTCTCCCACCACCAGCCTCCTGACCAGGTCCTTGCTTTACTTTGGCGAACACGCTTTCATTATTTATCATTGTTGCTGGTCTGGGACGTGCAGGTGACGCTGGGTCGGGAATGGAGTCAGGGGCACGTCCACACTGACCGTGAGAGTCCTCAGGATGTACGATGGAGTCCGTGAGCCCGTGGCCTCGGTGGTGGTGGTGGCGTCTGGTATCGACGATGACCAGGGCACAGACGCAGCCTTGGGGAAGCTCGGGGAAGCCCACAGAGGATGAAACGAAAACAGGCCTCCAATGTGCCACTGGCGCGCTCTTCCTTCCGGAAGGGCAACTCTCACAAGATGGGAAGAGGAGCACACAGGGCACGTTCTACCTCCGCCCGGGTCTCCCTGACCCTCGCCGGAGACAGGCCCAGAGCCCCGGCCGGGTGCTCGTCGGGAGGAGAGCAGGTGAGGCGGGCTCAGAGGCTGGCGTTGCTTTTCCCTGGGATCCACAGCGGCCACCAGCCGCGCCCACAGCGGGAGCAGAGCCACAGCGGCCACCAGCCGCGCCCACAGCGGGAACGGAGCCACAGCGGCCACCAGCCGTGCCCACAGCGGGAGCAGCCCGCTCGCACGCCCTTTTCTCCTTCTCCCTGTCCCTCCTCGTGTCATTTCACCCTCAGAGCCCACCCAAGTCCCCCTAGGATGGTGGGAGCAGCCAGACTGCAGCACGCAGCCCCCCAGAGCTGCGCCACAGCCAGTGGCGCCAGGTGCCATGCGGGCCCCGGGCGGGCAGGCTGGCTGCGTCCCTGAGTTCCTCCCCTGTGGACGCTCGGGGTGACGGGAAGTCACCTGCTTCCTGATCAAGGTCCGTCTCCTAAGCCTGCAACTCAGCTGAAAGTCTCCCTTTCTGCAAGCCTGCAGAAGAAGCTTTCCTGCCGCATTTTATGGCCACACCAGTTTTCTGTTGTTACAAGCTTCCTGATGAAAGGCACTGCGTTTCACCAAGCCTGGAACAATTCTATCTTTAAACCAAAGGGATTTGTTTTGCACTGGCCCGCCCGCTCTTCATCTTCAGAGACGTAGGATGCAGTTGTGCAACACACCCACTCTGTCTCTGACTGTCTGTCTGTGTCTGTCAGCCTATCTGTCTGCCTGCCTGTTTGTGTTTGTCTGCCTGTCTGTGTCTGCCTGCCTGTCTGCCTGTCTGTATCTGTCTGCCTGTCTGTGTCTGTCTGTCTGTCCCCAGGACCGTGCCTGCACTCCACCCTTGTCCTCCTCATCTGTAGACCCAGCAGAGCCCAGACACACAGGCTGGTTTGGAAGTTGTCTGGCTGTGTTTAGTGTGCACAGGTAGCAATCCATAGGTGGTCACTCGCTCAGTGAGATCAGGATCTGGGAGAGAACCCCCCCTACACACCTCAAATTATGGAAGGCACTGTGATTTCCCGGCTCCCGCAAGGGAAGATCTTTGTTTTCTTCTTTAAATTTGTGGGCACCAAAGTCGATGCCTGGCTCGTGTTGTCTGACTTCATGGTGTTCTTCCCTTGTGTCAACCTGTTAATTAATATGCCACCTCCCCTCTGTTGTTTTACTTAGACTTTTTGAAAATTCAGTCACACCGCGACGCGCACTGCCACTTTCATTTTCGTACCTCCTCAACCAAGTGCAAATTAAGACGCGGCCACAGCCCTTGAGAAGAAGCTCTGCATTAGGCCACCTTCTCTCTCTGTGTTTCTCGAGTGGCCACTGTTCCCTCCGAGGAGCACTTGATAATTATGCCGCGTGCTTGCTGCACCTCCGTTTCCAGGTGCGCTCTGCCGTCAGCACCGCACACGAGCTGACACGGTGCTGCCCGTCCTGACCCTCGACCCCCGGAGGAGCGTGCTCGGCATTGCAGCCTGGCCCCTCACTGCCCAGCCGAGACTATGCTCCGGAATTAGATTCCAGATAGATGGGCCCCGCTGTTCATTCTGACACCCAGTCCAGTGTGGTCTCTCATTGGCAACGGCAAAATATAGACTGTTGATTAGAATGGTGTGCAAAAAAAACCAAAACACCTTCAGAAAATGCAAATGCAACGATGTGTACCGGTAAAATGCGGGATTGGAGATGCCTTATTGAAATAGGAGAAGGCATCTGAAAGTGGATTATTTATTATGCACAAAGCTGTCGTCGTACCCCGCCGCGGTCCCCTCCCGCCTCCCCGGTTCTCTTTGATGCGCCTTAATGAGCTATCCTCTCCAGAGGTGATTTATAATGAGGCGGTGGCCGGTGCAGAGCTTCTGCAGGTACAGGATACAAAGCCAGAGCAGGAGACTGTTGCTGGAATTGTCTGAGGCACGGTTATTACAGCCCCAGCCGTGGTACAGCAAGTCGCGCTCTGTGAACAAATGCTCGTGATGTGACTCATTTTGTAGGCTCCACAGAAACACAGCCCACACGGGGAG